CTCTAAAGGACTTAAAAAGAAAAAGCTGGTATATTTTTGCAACACCGTTTGGCCTCAGTATCACCTGGAAAATTATGAGGCATGGCCCCTTATTAGGACATTAAGGCTAAAGACCTCTCAGAGTTAGAAAAATATTGTTGCAGAGAAAGAAAATGGGTGGAGATTTCTTACTTAATGGCTTTTGTTGTGCTTTCTAGAGACCCCATTCTCAGAAAGGATTGTAAGATGCTTGTAGTTAGAGCCACCCCACTAATGGGGAGTGGGGATCAAATGGACTTTTTGGATGATCCTCTCCTTATGGCTCCTAGGGTTATGGCACCCCCCTGTTCTCAGCCTCTGTCAGCATCACCTCCCCAGTACCTACCTCCACCCCATTCTCCTCTGTCCTCTCCAGCTGTTCCCCATTTTCCCCACGCCTTTCCTTCTGCTCTCCCTTGACCCCTTCTACATTTCCCTATTCTCCCCTGGCCCCCCTTGTTTCCCATGCCCCCTCCTCCTCACCCAACTCCTCTTTCCCTTGGTTTCCCTTCCCTTTTCCTCTGGCTCCTCCATTTCCTCCCCAGACCCTTGCTCTAGAGGCTACTTCTACTCAGGCCTTGAGCAAGGACCTCACTCCAGCCTCTACTTCCGAAGAGACCCCTGCTCAATTCCGGACAAGGTTCTCAACTCTGAGTCTCCTCCCCAGAAGACCTCTACTTCAGATGGGACCTCTACTCAGGCTCCAGACAAGGGTCTTACCTTGAGGTCTCCTCCCCTGACCCCTCCCCCTCCTCCAGCATCAGGTAATCTTTCCCCTTGCCAGCCGAACTCCTCAGCCTTGGCAGTTCAGCCGGCACTCCCCAGTCCCTCGCTCACAAGAAGTGGGACTTCCTATCTTCTTCCCCCGCGAGCCCCTGTTCCTGCAGGTCCTTCAGGGCTTTTTCCTTTAAGGGAAGTACCTGTCTCTCCTAATGGGACACTTAGGGGGCACGTTCCATTCTCCATTTAAGACCTCAACCAGATTAAGGACAGACTAGGTCGATACTCTGAGGATCCCACTAAATTTACTGAGGGCTTCAGGGATGTGTCCCTACAATTCAAACTTTCTTGGGGTGATTTGCATGTCCTCTTCTCTACCTGTTGTACCATTGAGGAGAGGTAGAGAATCTGGGAACATGCCCAAAACTTTGGGGATCATTTTGCTAGCAATGACCCCACAAAATACCCCCCAGGAATAGCTGCTGTTCGTGCTAGTGATCCAGGGTGGGATTATCAGAAGAGTGAGGATGGGGGAAAGAGGGACTGCATGATAATTTGCCTGTTAGAAGGGCTGAAAACAGCATTTTGAAAGCAAGTAAACTTTCAGAAGATTAAGGGAATTACTCAGGAAGAAAAGGAAAACCCTGCCCTTTTCCAAGATAGGCTAGTAGAAGCCATTAAAAAGTATACGAATTTAGATCCTGACTCTACAGAAGGGGAAGTAATCCTTAACATATATTTCGTTAACCAATCTGCCCCAGATATTAGGAGAAAATTACTGAAATTGGCAATGGGACCCCAAACACCTCAGGCCCAGTTATTGGAGATTGCCTTTGGAGTCTTTAACGACAGAGACCTAGTTGCAGCAGAGGAGAAGGAACGCAGGCAGAGGGCTAGAGACAAAGAACATGCTTGATTCCTGGCTGCTGCCATGGTCAGGAAAAGACCCAAGGGTGTTCCCGGCAACTTGGGCAGTGGAAAGACCTGCTTTGGATGCCACCAGGAGGGTCACTGGCCCAAGTAGTGCCCCGCCAGGGCGCCCCTTTGGAGGAAGCCCCCAAAACAGACACCTCCAGGACCTTGCCCAAGATGTGACCAGGAGGGACATTGGAAGAAGGATTGTCCCCAAAGTAGGAGAAGTGGTAGAGCAGCCCCCCAGTACCCTGTCCTCCAGTCTTCTCAAGACTGGGGAGGACAAGAGAGCCTGGGTCTGGACAACACTCCCACTTTCTCCATCTCTCTCACCAAGCCCTGGGCAGAAATCAAGGCTGAAGGTAAGGTTACCCACTTTATCATGGCTATGTTCTTTGCTTTAACCAATTAGTCTGGTGCTATTCGCCCCTTGACCCATTCAGTCATGGGCATTCAAGGGATAACTAAGGGATGTCTCCAGACATACCCCCCCTTCCCCTGCCTATTCGACAATCTGTTGTTTAAACACTCCTCTCTTATGCTCTCATCTTGCCCTGTTCACTTGTTGGGAGGGAACCTGATGGTGAAGTTGGGGAACCACTTTTCTCTAGTTAAGCCTCCCCTCTCCCTTTTCCCTCTGTGTGCCAGAACTCCCCATGTTCCCCTGGAAGTGTGGGAGACAATTTGGGATTAGGGAACTCCTGGGCTAGCTACTCTTGCCACCTCAGCCATTGTTTGCCTCCGAGACCTTAAAGTATTTTCCCATCGCCATATTTGTAGCCCCACCCAGGAGGCTTCTTTGTCCACTGCCTCAGGAGTGCTTAATTTCTTGGGAACTCAAGGCTATAGAGTCTCTTTGAACAAAGTCCAGATAGCATGTCAGTCTGTAAAGTTTCTGGGCCACGAACTCCCTGTCCCAGACACTAAAAAACAATTTCAAACTTTTCGAGGCATGACTAGGTTTTCCTTTTCTTCCTGAGTAATTCCCTTAATCTTCTGAAAGTTTACTTGCTTTCAAAATGCTGTTTTCAGCCCTTCTAACAGGCAAATTATCATGTAGTCCCTCTTTCCCCCCGGAAACCTTATAAGAGTTTTATTGTTAAGCCCTTTTATTGTTGCTCCTCTGGGCCCAGACTCACTCCCCCTAGAATGGGGCCCTGACCAGGCTAAAGCCTTTGTGATTTTAAAATCTAAATTGATCCCCATACCCCAAACTCAGTCCTTGGGACCTGACCCTAGCCAGGTAGCTTGTTTTTCAAAACAATACTCTGTAGCTACTGGATGGCCTACAAGCCTCCTGGTTGTGGCTGCTACAGTCATTCTAATTGAGGAAGCCTCTAAATTTACATTTGGCCTCCTAAAGTGGGAAAATAACTCCCCAGTTAAACTGGGAAACCAGTTAGACCACTCACACCCACACGGCAACTCTCATCTCTACAAAGCCCTCCTCCCCAGTACGACTTTCTCAGAAGTTTATGCCACCCCATTTATGCTTGCCACTTCTCTATGGGCCACTCTCCATATCAACACTTTCCTTCTCCACAGGGGAATATTACCTTACTTGGGAGACAAGCTCTAAGGCCACTAGACAAGTTAACACCCCTGTGGAGGGAGGGCTTGTAAGAGTTTCTGTTGATCTTTCAACCTGTACTCCCTGTGCAGATAGCACTAGTGATAAGAATTTTGGGGAAGAGGTGAAACAAAGTGCCAACATATGGCAAGACCCCAGAACTACTGTCTTGGTCACCCAATGTTTGACACCCTACAAAGACTTTGGGGTGTGCACCCTTGGATTTTTAGCACCCCCCTTCTCCATTTTCAATGCCACACCGCCCACAGTCTCTAACTTAAGGGCAAAGTGTGGATTTTGGGGAAATGTCCTCTGGTCTCTTAAAAGGGGAGCAGAATATCTCATGCCTTGGTATGGTCATCTACAACATGAACATATTCTCTCTAACCTTACAGAGACTATTCACCAGTTGGCAAATGAGACAGCCTATGGTCTTTGGGAACTCCAGCAATCTCTGGATTCCTTAGCAAAAGTAGTTCTAGATAATAGAATAGCCCTAGACTACTTGCTGGCCTCCAGTGGGGGTGTATGTGCTTTAGCAAACACATCTTGTTGCATGTACATCAACAACTCTGGGAGGGTAGAACTCTGCACTGAACGTATTTTGGAAAAGGCTAGTTGGATGCAAGAAATTCATAATAATTTTAGTGCTCCAAAATCATCTTCTTCATGGGAGTCCTGGCTTCTTTCTATACTAGTCCCTATTCTATATTATATACTATTATATACTAGCCCCTGATTATACTTCTCTTGTGTTTGTTTGGTCCATGTTTACTAAATATTCTTGCCAGGTTCCTTTCCTTTAGGGTCACAGCCATCAACTTCCAGATGACTGCTCAGTCTGTATACCAGCCTGAGGACTCTAGCCCTCTGAACCTGGCATCAGCCGGGTTTTGAAGTTTCACCCCTCGAACAGGATCCAGAGAGGCAGGGACAGCTCTACGCCCCTTGCCAGCAGGAAGCAGTTTCAGAAGCCGAGACCTTCGCCCCTTACACCAAAAGAATTTGGTCCCATTTATTTGAGGGGAAAATGATGGGGTATCATTCAGTTTCAGAAGCCAAGACCTTTGCCCCTTTTTGCCAAAAGGAATTTGGCTCCCATTTGTTTACAGACCCCAGAAAACCTTGAACTTTTAGATTCCTTATAGACTCCCTTTATTTCCCTTTGAAAGCCTTAGCCTTACCTTTTGATCTTATTCAGATGCACGTTTGCCCCTAGCCCTAAAAAGAATCTGGCTCCCGTTTGTCTATGGGTCCCAGAGAACCCTTAAACTTTTAGGTTCCTTATCTACTCTTTTTATCTCCCTTTGAAAGCCCTAACCCCACTTTCTGATCCTTTCAAACTTCCTCCTTCCAGTTCCCTTCATTATCTATTCCCATTGTTTATTCAATCTCTCAGACCTTCCAAACAGAATTCTCACCTAGACCCTTTTCCCAACCACGCCCCCCCTTCCTCTGGCCACCCAAAGTTACTTTAGTGTATATAAGATCCACCCTGGCCCCCATTCAAACGCTGAGACTTTCTCATGCCCAAAAGGCTGAGACTCTCGTGCTCGCTTGTCACCACGGGAGTTACTAATGTTCAGATTCCTTAAGAGTCTGGCCTATATGTTTTATCTCTAATAAACTTTTTCTCTGGCTGGAAGAAGATTTGAGTTGAATTCTTTCAGGCAAGGCCCAGTGTCACAATCTTGGGGTCCATTGAAGCACCCCAAAACCTCTAGACCTCTTCACTTTGAGCTGAACCTTGAAGAAAAAGAAGAATTCTGAAAGTTGGAGCTAAGAAGAAAGTGTATTCCAGGCAGGGGGAAGAGCTTGCATAAATACATAGAGGCTGGTGATCTATTACCAAGTTTGGGAAAGAGCATAAAGCTCAAGTTGGCTCGGGCTTAGTATGCACTCGGGGAATAAGGGGAAGAAAGGCTAGGAATTTAGACTGGAACCACTGTTAACAGACTCTTGCCCAGCATCAGTTGTTAGGGAATTCACCTAGCCTAGGTTATAGTGCCCCAAAAGTCCAGGACCATCAGTATTCTATAAGAGGAGGTGGACATAACCAAGAGGCTCCAAAGAAAGTCTCATCACCATTGGGTGAAGGTATTAAGGGATATGTGAGGTTGACATAGACGGTGTCCTTGTAGCTAAGGTTCATCTGGAGGCTGGCACTCAGTGAGCATCTGCCCTGGAAGTGTCTTCGGAGGAGGCTGGAATGGCGGCCCTGGGCAGAAAGGATGCCAATGGTCAAGGTCTTGACCACTTTGAGCTCAGTGCCCTGGCCTGTGGCCTGGACGCATTGGGCCAGAGTCACCTGGACATAGACACCATAAATGCCACTGCGCTGGGTCTGCAAGGAACCCTGGACCAAAGTGAAGCCATAGATGAAGGAGCGGCCCAGGGATGGACCCCCTTGCCACTGCAGGGTGTTGTCCTGACGGGAACCTAGGAGAGAAAAGGAAGAATAGGGGCTCAGACCCATAGGGGGCCCCATTCACCCATTTACCACAGCTCCCTGGCCCCTCCTTATGCAGAGACATTATGCTAATAACCTATTATTAAATTGGGATCCAGGCTTTTCTCTTTACTATTTCCTCACTAAAGCCCAACCCTTTTTAAAGTCAGTCTCTAAAGACATGACTAATTGAGGAAATTACTTTTAACCCTCAAAGCACAAGCTCCTTAATCTTGGGTGGGATCCCACCCAACTAGGACACCTAAATTCTATTCAGAGTATAAACAGATTCCAATCTTGGCAAGTCCTCTGGAGAAAGGAGCTGCTATCCTTGTACCCCTCTGTTGGATAGGGTGACCCAGCTCATGAAGGAAAAAACCAACCAGATGGTTTGGATGGAGATGGAGTCCCCTGTCCAGATTGCTAGAGGTGGCTGAGTCTCATGATCAAGTCACATTTTCAGCGGAGGAGCTGAAGACTTTTGAACAACCTCATTAAAGTTCCACCAGTCAGGGTTGATTTTCACTTGTCAAGGAAATCCCCTTTCAGAAAGGTTATTTAAAGTTTTCTGGATTTCCATTGTGCATCTTTGGTTACTGAGAGAAACCACTGATCATCAATTTATTGATTGCTAGCTAGCCTAATTAATAAATTGATCATTAATTACCCAGAAAGTCTGCCTCTTGGGGGTTTTTATTCATCACAATACCAAAGGGGGGAGAAAACAAAGACAGACAGAAGCACACACACAAACACACACACACACACACACACATACATGTCTACACACAGACAAACATATAGATGTACACAAAAAGACAAATACTCAGAGAGGACAGAAAGACACATATAGACAGGAAGACTCACAACTCATTGTTACCTGTGTGATTGAGCAGGAGATGGGCTGTGTGAATTGTTTCCTTACTTCCTCCCTGTTTTTCCCTGAATGTATTGTTCTCTGGCTGAGGGAGGAGGACAGCACAGAATGGGATGGAGCCAATTCTGATGTTCTTCAGGCACTTCACAGTCAAAGAAGCCCAGAAAACAATTTCCCTGAAGCCCCCAGTCTCAACCTAAGTTTTGCTATACCCATTTCTCTCTCTCTCTCTCTCTCTCTCTCTCTCTCTCTCTCTCTCCCCCTTCTCCCTCTCTCATTCTCTTTTTCACACACACACACTGTCCCTACTGTCCCTATTCTCCCCTGACTCCAGCCCCTGCTTGACATTTCCTCTTTCCCTTGAGATCTGAATTTTTTAAAATGTTCTTTCATTGCAGTAAGGATTCATGAAAGGCTTTTGGAAGAACTTCTTAGCTTCCTGAAATGGGAAGAGGATAGACCATGAAGGGAGATCTGGGAACAAAATAGGAGGCCTTGGACCAGATACAAGGGGTCTGATGAGCTTACTGTCCCAAAGTTCCTTCCAGATCAAAGAATTTCTGGTAACCCCCTCCACTTATGCTGTGAAGCTCCCCTGCTGTCATCTGAGTCATTGCCTGGGGAAGACCCACTGAAATCATTCTCACTCTTGAGCCCTTGCCTGCCTACCTCCAACCACTCTACCTTGGGATCCACCTCACTGACTTTGGAGTCAAATGGGCTAGGGCACACAGCCTGAGTGGCCCCACAAATAATCCTCTCTTCCCATCATACACGTGCGCTCACATGCGTATACACACATACACATACACACACCAGATCCTAAATCCAGACTGCTTCTCACCTCCTCTCTGTCATTCTCTCCCTGTCTCCCCATCTCTCTCCTTGTCCCCTTATATCCCATGCCTCTGTCTCTCACTTTCCCTGTCTCCCCATATCTCTCCTCCATCTCCATCATCTCTCATATCTCCCTTTCTCTCTCTAGCTCTCCCTGTATCTTCTCTATGTCTCCCCAGGGTCTCCCCTCCTTCTTGTCTGTACCTTTACCTTGATCCTTTCCTGTATCTCTTCCCTAGGGGGTCTCTTCCTCTCCTATACTCTATACCCCGACCCTACCTAAGATCAGGAAATCAGGAAGGTTTACGTGGCACTCACTTACCTCATGGTGGACCTTGCTGAGGGGTCGGGAGAGAAAGTAGCAAACCAGAGAGGACACCAGGAAACCAGCAAACAACCCAGTGACAAAGCCAACCAGGGAACAGCGAAAGTAGATCCTTAGCTTCTTCCTGCCATCCCCAGAGGCCATGGTTCTGCTCTCCTTATGGGGACAGGGGGGCAGGGGGATAAATGGATTGAAGGGAAATATGAGCCTTGTAGGCAGATGGAGAGGGAGTCACACACACACACACACACACACACACAGAACAGAAAAGGGAGAGAAGGAGGGAGAGAGAATGCAGAGAGAAAGAAAACAGAGAACAAAGGGAGGGAGGGAGGGAGGGAGGAGGAGGAGGAGGGAGAGCCAAGAGTGTGTGGGTGACTCTCTAGATAGGCTGAAGACAGCAGGAGGAAATCCAGAGGTCAAAGCCTCCAAAACCTTTCCCCTCCCCTTTCTCCTCCTTCTGTGCTCCCTTTTCACATGTGAATTGGCCTGGGACTTTTTGTAAGGGGGAGGGAAATAAAATTTTCCAGGGCTCAAACCAGGAACCCTTGTACATGTGGCAATGTCTCTCCCTAACTCAGGAGTCACCGCCTACTCTTGACTAAGGTCTTCTCCACCCAGGTACTCTTCCCCAATCACCCGTGCCCCTTCCCCAGCACTGGATATCACAACTAAGGAACCTGTTCTCCCAAAAGGACTCTCACCCTCCAGAGGCAAAAACATGGGTGGAGTACCTAAAAAGAGCCTAGGCCCCTGATTAGGATTTTTTATTGGTGCAAAACAAATCCTAGTTCCTCTTCTTAAACACTGAGGGCCATATGGCTTAGTGACATGCCCATGAGAGGCTGAAGTGCTCAGTGATCAACAACCACAAAGGTACCCATCATAATGGACAGGAAGACATCCAGGTCCAGTTCAAGCTCTTGGTTCTCTATTGTATTCCAACTATCCCTCTGAGATCCCAGAATAGAAAAGAAAGGACCCAGTAACCCTGGATATATCTTCTTCATCTTCCCCTCCCCATGCCCTCTTCCCCGACCAAACCTCCACATCTCATTCCTTAAATGGGATCAAAACACAGCCCATATCAGAAAATCATCTTTCCTTGAACTTCAGAATTGTAAAACAGAATGTCAGAGCTGGAAGGGATCTCTTTCTACCCTTGTCTCTCTGCATCCCTCCTGCCTCTTTCTCTTTCTCTTTCTCTCTTCCTCTGTCTCTCTCTCTCCATCCTTGTCTCTATCTTCCATCTAGAATCAAAGACCCATAGAATGTCAGTGACTGAAAATGACCTTAGAGATTATCTTATTTTAGATGAAGAATAGGGAAACTGAAGCACAGGGAGATGTCTATCCAGTTTTCCCTTGAGTAGGGTTTCAGTCCAGGTTTTAGTGTGTTCCAGGATCAAAAGGTCATTTTCACCCTGTTTCCAAAGTCATCTCACAGCCTACCTGACCATCCTAAAGACTCTCATTACCCCACAATCTCCTTGACTATCTCAGACCCTCCTTTTCTAATCAATAATTTTACTGAATCATTCCACAGTGTCCCACAATCCATCTCACATCCTTCTGAGTCATCTCAGTCACCATTTCACAATTCATATTCATATCTACATCATATCCATATCCACAATTCATTCTAGAAATCTCCCATGTTCATTCCCCCATGCTTTTTTCCCTCCTTACCTGTATCTCATAGAAATTCTATCTCCCTTTCAAGGCTCAGTTAAAGTGTTAGCTAAAAATAAGAAATACAGGAAATGGGGCACAGAAATCTATCCTGCCCAACAGGAAAATAGAAGGGGAAGGTGATAAGAGAAGAGGGGGAGAGATAGAAGGGAAGGCAGACTAGGGGAAGGGGTATTCAGAATGCATGCCATCTTGGGGTGGGGGGAAGGGCAAGATGGGGTAAAAATTTGGAACTCAAAATCTTGTGGAAGTAAATGTTGAAAACTAAAAATAAATAAATTTATTTTTTAAAAAAAGAGATTAAAAAAAGTATTAGCTAAAACAAGAGGTCTTTCCTAATTCTCCCAATCACATTAATGCTCCTTCTTTAACCTCCACCACAATTGTTTTATATTTGCTTTGTTGATATTTTGCATTTACTTTTCAGAGTACATGCTTGTTTTCCTCCATTAGAGTGTAAGATCCTTGAAGGAAATAACAGTTTGGCATCCTCAACACCTCTACAGTGTCTGGCACATAATAGGCACTTACTAATGCTTGTTGAATCGAATAGACCATTCCCTCTCTGTCCCTCCCATGCCATCCCTGATCCACTCCACATCTTCCTGAGCTATGGCATACTCTCCCAATGAAACCCAAAGCCTCCTAGAGACATTACTCAGCTTCCCTCAACTCTTCAGCTTTAAGCCATTCCATGATTCTAGCACCCCACAACCTGCATGTCTATTTGAGTTTCCCTGAGCTAATTCACAGCCTCCTTGAGAAATCCCACAGAAGTCTAATTATCCCAAAGCTGCTCTGTCCATCACAGAATATCTCTCAGTCATCCTCCAGCTTCTCAATCTATGTCATAGTTTCTCTGTTCTTTGTCCTCAGGGTGATCTCCAGTACCTTGTTGCCTCAGTTCTTTCCCAGGTCATCATCCCTGCCTTAGCTGAATTTTTCTCCCATCTTAATCACTTTGTGAACCAATTCCACTCCACACTGTCCTCTTCTTTTGAGTCCCTTGTCCCTTTATTCCTATTACCTTTACTCCTACTCAGATGCTGCTGGAGAAAAATCACAAAACCACCCACTACAAATTCACATTACATAATATCTGCTAGGCTACACTGTAGCAAGGCAATTCTTTCATACTCCTCCTTTAATTAACTCACTATCCCACTCACCATACACAATAGCTTTTCTAAAACTGTTCATCCTTCATTAAACTTCCCATAGTTCCTAATTATCCCACTCTCTTGGCTGAGAACCTTGCCTCATATTTCAATGAAAAAAATGGAAGCCATTCATCAAGAATGTCCTCTTCTCTTTTCCTCTTCATCTCATGTCATTCACATATCTTTTGCCATTATCTTCTCCTTTACCCCTGTCTCAAATGAAGAGATGATCCTTCTCCATGCCAAGGCAAACCTCTCAATATGCATAAGTGATCCTATTCTATCCCATCTTCTCCAGCACATTACCCCTCTATCATTCTCACTCTCTCTCATTTTCATCTTCAGTCTTTCTTTTTTGTTTGTTTATTTGTTTTTTTGCTAGGCAATGAGGTTAAGTCACTTGCCCAGGGTCACACAGCTAGTAAGTGTCAAGTGTCTGAGGCCAGATTTGAACTCAGGTCCTCCTGACTCCAGGGCTAGTGCTCTATCCACTGCACCACCTAGCTATCCCCAGTCTTTTTTTGTCTACTGGATTCTTCCCTATTACAAACAAATATACCCAACTCTTCCCTATCCTCAAAAATTGCATTTGATCCATCCATCCTTGATAGTTATAATTCCATATTTCTCCTCCCCTTAGTAGCTAAATTCCATGAGAAGGTCATCTTTAATCAATGCCTCTATTTCCTTTCCTATCACTCATTTCTTTACTCTCTATAGTCTGGCTTCAAACCTCATCATTCAACTGAAATTGCTCTCTACAAAGTTACCAAAGATCTCTTAACTTCTGAGTCTAATGGCCTTTTCCCAGTCTTCATCTTTCGTGACCTCTCTGCAGCCTGTAATACTGTTGACCACCATTTTCTCCTTGATACTCTCTTCTCTCTAAGTTGCTGTGAAACTTTTCTATCCTGGCTCTTCTCTTACCTGGCTGACCAATCCTTCTGAGTATCCTTTGCTATATCTTCATCCAGGTAACCCCTGTTAATGGTGGTGGTCCCCAGAACTCTGTCTTGGACCCTATTCTCTTCCCCTTCTATGCTATTTTCCTTGGTGATCTTTTCAGCTCTCATGTATTTAATTATCATCTCTATGCTAATGATTTCACATCTCTTTTCCATCCCTGATCTCACTCCTAACCTAATGTTAGGATGGACATCTTGACATCTTGAATTAGGTGTCCCATAGACATCTTAAACTCAACATGTACAAAATTAAAGTCACCATCTTTTCTCCTATTTGACATATAAATATCTTAAGTTCAGTATGTCCAAAACTAAAATCATCATCTTGAAGATGGCAGCATAAGGGCAGGGGTTCACCTGAACTCTCCCAAACCCCCATCCAAAAAACTTTAAAATAATACCTCAAAATGAATTCTGGAGCAGTAGAACCAACAAAAGGATGAGGTGAAACAATTTTCCAAGCCAAGATAACTTAGAAGGTCAACAGAAAAGGTCTGTCCCATTGGGGTGAGAGTGGAGTATGGTCCAGTATAGGCTGTGCCCTGGCAAGCCAGCAGCATGCCTTGGGGGCAACTGAATCAGCAGCAGCAATTTTGGAGCTCTCAGCCTACAGAAGGTAAAGGGATCAGACAACTGATCAGAAGGAAATTACAAGGGACCCTTTGCCATGATCAAAAAAAGAGCCTAGACATCATATTTCAAGAAATTATTAAGGAAAATTGCCCTATCCTAGAACCAGAGGGTAAAATAGAAATTTAAAGAATTTACTGATCATCTCCTGAAAGAGATTCAAAAATGAAAATTCCCAGGAGTATTATAGCCAAATTCCAGAGCTCCCAAGTCAAGGAGAAAATATTGCAAGCAACCAGAAAGAAACAGTTCAAATATCATGGAGACATAGTCAGGATACCACAAGATTTAGCAGCTTCTACATTAATGGATCAGAGGGTTTGGAATATGACATTCTGGAGGGCAAAGGAGCTAGGATTACAAGCAACAATCACCTACCCCAAAACAACTGAGTATAATTCTTCAGAGGAAAAAATGAATATTTAATGAAATAGAAGACTTCTAAGCATTCCTGATGAAAAGGCCAATGAGAAATTCCATTTAAAATAACTGTAGACAACATAAAATACTTGGGAGTCTACCTGCCAAGACAAACCCAGGAACTATATGAACACAATTACAAAACACTTCATACCATTACTGTCAGAACTAAAGAACTGGAAAAATGTTAATTGCTTATGGATAGGCTGAGCCAATATAATAAAAATGATAATTCTACCTAAATTAATTTACTTATTCAGTGTCATACCAATCAAACTACCAAAAATTATTTTATAGAGCTAGAAAAAATAATTAAATTCATCTAAAAGAATAAAAG